TTAATGATAATATAATTGTGGGGTAACCAGTTGATGTAAGTGTTAGCTCATTTTGCTTTGCACCAAGGTTAAAATCCATGTTGGCAAATTACTTGAGGTTATTCTTTGTGTCTTTGGGCTTGTTTACCCTCAAACTTGGCAGTATGTCAGCTCTACATCAACTTGTAAAAATATTCAACCTGAACCAGACAATCTAGTGATCAATATTGTGAGCAACTCACACCGATAAGGGTATGATGACGTCCAATCAAGGACATTGAGCCTAGCCACCTCATTCATGTGGTTGCCTTTTATTGAAACCCTAGGCTGCTGGGGGTCTATTCTAATTGCTGTGATTCCCCTACTGTGTTATTGCTGAAGTCCGTTGGCTTCAAATTTGTATCAAATTGTGCAGGGAGAGAATTGAAATCCCCTTCAACAGACTTGTTCCGGATTGATATTACATGTGCTTGTATTTGTTGGGAACTGTGTGAAGTCGGCTGAAGACTTCCTGCTGTTCTCCATGGCATGTGCTGTATACATTTAAAATCATGGCAGGGAAGTATTTTGTTTATTGATCAAAAGATTGTCATGATGTAGATTACAACTTTTACATAACATGTCACAAAATCCTATTTGTGTGTTGTCATGGATGTGGTGTGGATTCCGGCTTTTCAAAAACATGACAACATTTGGCCTGATAAGAAGTTCCAGTAAGGAATGTGGATGAATATATGTGTCCAGTTACACGATATGTCAAGCTGCGGCTGTTAATCCCACAGCGGTATGGAGCAGATAACGCCTCTGTATTTATCACAGCCAAGGAGCATGCCAAGTGACGCCAAATCAAGTAATGTCTTACAAGATATTCTGTTGACCAAACAGAGGCTTCAAAAGATTAATTGTAGAGCTCAGATAAATCACTTGAATTGCACTGGACCGAAATAATATGTAAAAATATGTATTTGTTGTGAGATCATGTGTAAAATAAGGTTGAGAAATGTAAAGCTATATTCAAACACGGATTCGTGTGATGTTGAGATATTCCAGATGATTGGTTACATATAAAAATACTAATGCTAAAAGATCTGGACGGATTCAGCTCAATATAGAGCAATTGGACAGGTACAATTTCCTTTAGGATGAAAAGAAAAATACCGTACATTGAGACTCTAAAGGCTGAAAGATCATCCTGGCTCTGTAATCCAGTCCACAGACTTAGTGAATGGTGCTAATTGTGGCATGTAAGTGGTTAATCCTCACACATACTGGCCATTGTAGGTTAATGACGAGATTATATTATAGTGGTAAGGTATATGATTGGCTAATTGTCTGTTATGCCGTGGTCTGGTAATTTTGTAAGGTAGTTGGGAGATATAAGGTTACAATTGAAGTTATTCTGTCTGAGCAACAAATTACCGTGACTGTAAGCACTCGTTCAAACAGACTTACCTGACAACGAGGACATTATGTTGTCTGCTTTCTGTAATAGCCTGGATGCAATCAGGGGGGTGTTCCAGTAGCCGCTCTGATGACCACGACCTCATTTTGGACAGATCCTAACAATGCTTTACTCATCATAGACCAGGGTTGTCAAAGACAGGATTGTTTACAAAATTTAAATTATGAGTTAAAGTGATATGCAGGTTTTTGAATGAAAGACTTCTTTCAGAGAAAAGAGGGTGTACTTTGTAATCTTTCAAACATAACTGAAATGAACATTTGGGTTGGAAAGTAGGTTGGAATTTTAAATACATGTTAGCAAAACATCGCGAGTCAGGATGAAACGTTTAATGTATTATTGCCGCCTCACAAAGATACAATTATCAAAGGCAAGTATGAATGTGTATTATGTCCTACCAATACAGCAGATGTTTAAATCTGGTTTAATATATCGACAGATGAGAAATACATGTATATAAGGAAAGGTGAAAACAGTGTCATGTAAACAAGCATGTTAAATTGTCCTTGCATGTAAAGTAGTGACAAACAGTGATGATTCTGGAGTCAAGACATGAACAGTTCCGATTATTAAAATAAGACGTCTTGTTTAAGTGAGAGCAAGTACGTGATCATGCATGTGCAATAAGGGTTCTCTAGGTCAGGGGGTGTCATTTGAGTTAGGAGTTGTCCTCTTTCCCAAGTAATATTAGAGTAAATGTTATTATATTTTGACAATAAAATGAAAAAATTACAGTTACTGACAATTTAATTTTCAACATTTATTTTAATCATATGGGTGTGTTATTGATTCAGTAAACCATGCTATAACTTGTTATCACTATCTGATAAATATGCAAATAAGGTAATATAGCAGGAACTACTTTCATCCTCCACGCATCAGTACAGTGTCTGTTTGATCTGTATGTTATTGACTTGTATTCCTAATACATTTGATATGGGTGTCCCAATATTGGTATGTTTCTGTAGACAAACATGGCTGCAAGAGGTTAGGAACTATATAATAAAGTAGGCACTTCACACAAACATTGCATTGATGGACTCCTTTTATCATCACTGCGCTGAGTAAAAATGCATCTTTAATATTGATTATTTTAAGAAATACATTAGAAGATGAAGAAATTATTACATTAGTATTCCATGTCATAAATAGCATATATAACCAATAAAATGTGTTATTTTCACCAAGGCCTTAAACTTTATTCCTTATATGTTATTTATAACATGGAATCACTCTCAGCTTCATGATATAAAAATTTGATTAAATGTTTTCTCATGTGCCATGAAGACATGCCTGTGTCAGTATCCATTATTGATAGAAGAATATAACTGATGTTGAATTATGAATGTGGAAATGATGATGGAAAAGATATTGCAATGTTGATTGTGACAGTCTTTTTGTTGACACTGGACTTCATTAAGGAGAGCACGCAGAGTGTGTTTACATCACTGTGTTAGTGGTCCGGTTTATTTGTGGGCTACAGTCAGACCAACACACATGAATGTTATCCCTGTTCAGGGACACTCTTTCTTGTAATCTGGCCCTGAATCTGTATACATATCAGTTCAGAATGGTGAGACTTTAAGGAATGACCACAACTTTTATGAAGGATCTGTTATAATGAATGGGTTTCAGATGTAATCTTGTTCAGGGTGACACTTTCTTGTACACTAGCCCTGAATCTGTATTTCATGTGAGAAGGAAGGAATGACCATAGTATTTAGGAGGACAGTGAAGCATCCCAGCTAATTAATGCATATCACATCCAAGTACAATTACTGCATGGGTGTGAGTTATGGGGAAATCTTGTGGCCTGGTTCATTATTGTAGTTTGTCATCAGGGATATAGCATGGGTCAGTTTGTCACTCGGATGAATATCACTGGAGTTTTCTCTGATTATTTTCAGTATGAATTACAACCAGTTGCATGGAAACATTATCACAACAGAGTACTTGCTGGATTGAGTTTGAACGCATTTCATTGAAACAGTGAGCTTTAAACTTAACGTGATGTCAAGGTGACAATCTTGCCGATGTATATTCTGTGTCGAGTTGACAGTGAAGGCTTTCGGATAGGTTCATGAGGATATGCACAGTGCCTTGAACTGTCTGTGAAGAGACAGCATGTCTACTTGTATGCAGATGTGATGGAATAATTGTCTTGACTGTATGTTGCTCTTGGTGCCTCGGATTTACTGAAATGTTTTGTTTTAAATCAGAAGATAGGCTACCATGGGTAAGTGTGGGTTTCATTATGTCTTCAGATGTGTCAAGGAATGGTATTTGGACTTTCTGCATTGTGTCTTTGTAAAGTTTTAATCTTATTCTCCATTCAAATACCAGAGCCTGCCTGTGAAATATGTTTTGAAAAGCAGGTGGATTATTTGGTGACCTGTAGCTCAAGCCCATGACTTGAGAACAGGACATTTTGACAAATTTACACATTTTTAACACATGGTATCTTCACTTATTTTCAGTGGTACTTTCATGTATTTTTCATTTAACCCCCAACTTGGCTCCAAGGGAATCGAGGCGGTGGGGTAGCCTAGTGGTTAAAGCGTTGGCTCGTCACACCGAAGACCCGGGTTCGATTCCCCACATGGGCACAATGTGTGAAGCCTATTTCTGGTGTCCCCCGCCGTGATATTGCTGGAATATTGCTAAAAGCGGTGTAAAACTAAACTCAGTCAGTCAGTTAGTCCAAGGGAATCTGTTTCAGCAAATAATCAAGTGTTACATATTTAGCCACAACTCCAAAGAGTTCACTGACATTTTGTTCTGTCCAGTAAACTAAACTGTCATCTCCATCAGTAACATGAAAATAGGCTAAAACTCATCCTTAATGCCAAGTTTGGAGTGAGTGAGTGAGTATAGTTTTACGCCGCTTTTAGCAATATTCCAGCAATATCACGGTGGGGGACACCTGAAATGGGCTTCACACAATTTACCCATGTTGGGAATCGAACTTGGATCTTTGGCGTGACGTGCAAAGGCTTTAACCACTAGGCTACCCCACTGCCTCGCCAAGTTTGGAAGATTCAGAGTTAACTGCTAAAACAAGTTAAAGAACACATGATTGTTTTATATTACCATTGCTAATCTGTCATGACATGATAGATTAGCTACAGGAATGTGAAAGAATCAGGTGTCCTGTAGCCTTTTTTTTTTCAGTAGTATATTTTCTTTACATGTATTGAGCACACCACAATCATTGACTCAATCACGAGACCCATGAAGATCTGGTTTGGAATTGGACTTCGGCAACCCATGCTTGTCATAAGAGGCAACGGGATCTGGTGGTCAAGCTTGCTGACTTGGTTGACACATCTCATCATATCCCAATTGCGTAGATCGATGCTCATGCTGTTGACCACTGGATTAGCTTTATCTTTGATGGAAGGTCACAACCTGTAATTCAGTTTTCCGACTATGTGTTTTAGACTAAACTTGTACCTTTTCATCACAGTCTGACCATTTACACATCATTGGCCTTAAATAATAATTCACCATCTGCTGTAAAGTAATTAACAATTTTATAATTAATTTTTTTACTTTTCAGAAACTGAATACTGGACTCAGCAAGCGGCGACAAGCAGGTATGCATATATTTTTATCAATTGTTCTTCTTACACAATGTATGCTACTCAAAGATGTTAAGGATCACCTGTTTTTGTCTTGCGAGGATAGTTGATCTATTCATAGCCTTGACAGATTCACATTGATCACGTGAACAACTTGGATGGTCTTTGAGTTGTATGCAATCCATGGTTCTACTTCCATAGCAGCATAATTGATATGGTAAAATTATGTATGCATGGTAAAAGGTGTATTTTCTTCATGTGATGTTTTCAAATCTTTGCCTTTTTTTTCAAATGCATATTGGGGCTGCATTAAATATTCCTGGTTAATGGAATTAGAACCAAATATGTTTCAAAGAATTTTGTTGCAGATGAGCTTTTAGAATACATTCATCATCAGATTGTTGCTTGAACAGTATTGAGCAAAAGCAAGTGACTTTGTATTCATCAAGTAATAGTATGTGGAAGAGAACAAGATATTTCACATATTTTAAGAAAATGCTTGTTTATTATACAAAAATGCAAATTTGACATGAAAGAAACATTTTCATCTGGTTTTAAGGAAATACTGTCCTGGTACAGGCTCTTGAATTAAATTTGTGTACAAAAAAAGATGGGACTTTCCTTTGCTCAGTACTGTACACATGAACTGTTAGTGTAGAATATAGTATGGAACTTGGAAGTGAAGGGTCTATACAAGGTAAGTGGATTGTTTCAAAATGGTTACTGTTACTTTTATGTCTGACATTTCTTCCAGGAATTGTTTTTGCAATCACTATTCTGAAGTTGGTCATAACTTTCCAATTTCCACATTATGACCGACAGGTCTGCTGGTTTTGCAAGACTGACAGGAAGTTCAATTTGTTCAGTTATTCCTAATGTTACATGAGGATGCTGATTGAGGTCAAGGTGAAGGTTGCATGGAGTTAGCATGTGCCATCTCTCACGATGTGCAGTAAGGTTTTCCCTCCAAAATCGTTTTGTAAAAATTCTTCATTTACGGTACTTAAACAAAAATGAAAACAATAATTCTGTTGGGTGAAGGTCATTTTGTGTCAGTATTACCGTGCCTGATGCCACGTAGCTGTGTTCATTTTCCCCGTTTACTATCCATACAGATTTCTTTATTTATCCTAATTAATTCTGTTCAACGGGAAGCTTTAGGCTCTTGTGCCTTAGTTTTTGTCCTGGTGTTTGATGTGCTCAAATACAAGCACATTATCATGTTGTTTCTACTCTCTCGGTGTCGTGAACATTTGTGGACATAATGGCTGTCGTGTTTCTCACATCTCCCAGCTATGGAAACTTAGCTGCGTTAATTGTCAAAAGTGCTGTTTCATTGTTGGGTACGAAAAGGGACTATTTTATCTGGCGGATGGTCTTTAAACACTGGCGTTGTGGACAGTCAATATGGCGTATCACTGCTCTGACCTCCCGTTGGCCATTGTCAATATACAATACCTTGCTAGGAGTTTTTCAACATACTTTCTACAAGGATGTGCTGTTTTTGTCTTTGAGCTGCAGATTTTTGTACACATATTTGTTGAAGAGACTTACAATCAACTGTTGTCTTTTTTCTGGAAGTTAAAACTTGGTACCAAGTTATACGGATTTATGTATATATCACAACCAAATATTTGAATATTTTGAAAATTGCTTTGTGATATTGTAAGTAGATCAAACTTTTCTTCAATAACTCAAGCCATTATAGAGCCTTTAGATTCATCAATCTGTGTGCAATATTGAGTTAAAGAAATCTGAATAAATTTCCCAAAAATAATTATCACATATGTTGTTCAGAATCATTCCTAAAACTCCCAACAATGAGCAATATTCTACATTGATTGTAAATTGATGCATTTTAAATGAGAGAGTGAGTGAAGAAATTAAAATCATTGTCAAGACTTAATACTGATCCAAATGACCTGTGACTGTAAAGTCCCAAACCCATATGGACGTAATGCTAGCCATTCTGCATGAAGACCTGTCATCGGCTGGGGTAATTCCTGGGTTTCCAAGGACAGTTATGCTGAAAACTGCAATTACCAAGTGGAACAAGATCAATGGTGACCTCTCGTTAGGCCAGTTCGTTAGTCAGTTGGTCTGCTGAGGTCAGTCAGGACTGGAGGGAATTCCACAGTGGCTGGCTACAAGTCTACTGTTGTCCATTGTTAAACAAGAGCTGTCCAAACTCGTATCACATGGGAACACTGGACCCTGTGTCCCTCAGCTAGACACACAGACCACTATCAACATAGAAGATCAACTATATAATCAATGATTATTAAAATGATAATGATGACGATGATGATGATTTTTTAAAGTATTCCTGAGATGGAATACTCATGAATTCAATTTTTCAAATATGCACCAACATTTAATCAAAATCATGCGTAATTTTCATCTTCTTGTTATGTGATAAATATTTTATTTGTGTATTTGCAAATTTTCATGATAAGCTCCATGATTATAAAGCAAACCAGAGGTCATTTATGTTTAGAAAAAGCCAGCCACAGTTTATTGTGTGATGCAGTGAAAATCAAGCCCGCTTTATCTGTGCTGAACACTTTATCCATGGGACCACACAGTGCTGTTTTAATGCATCCCTTAGGTGATTAAATAAACCTAAAAATAAAGTTTTCTAAAATGATCATAAACTGAAACCTATCCCTAAACCTAAATTTCATGTAGATGTCAGGATCGGAAGACAGCTTGGACACGTTCCAGGTGCATAAACTCTTCACACTAGTTAAACCATAGTGTTCATCAAAATGTCATGTCAAAACTGTAATTTTCTTAAGACCAAATTAAACTACCCTCATTATTTATCAGACTGTAAAATTCTCTTTGAAATTGTTAACATTTAAACATTAAAATTTATACATTAAGTTCATGCGAAAATATTTGAGAAATGTTTGAGAATCACGTTTTTCCATTTCGTTTCATATAATTGTTTTTCAGGTTGAGGTTTTTGGAAGAAAAACATTTGCAAATGCTAATTATGAAACATGTACTTAATGAACTTGAGTTAGCTGACAGATTATAAAAGTGATCAATTTCCTGATATATTTTGTGACTTATCACTCCATGGTGTAATCCTTCCATGATGTTAGATATTCAGTAACAATTATGAGAGTATAACTCAGCCAACGCCTCATGCATTTATTGGGTATTGAGCCTTCTCCAGAATTGATCATTCCAGACAGACGACGTGCCTCCATTCCTAGACAGTATCAGGTTGATGGTATAAAAACTGTCCGAGGTAGTGATATAGAAGATAAATGTTAATAGAAATAATTACATTAGCATTTGATGTCAATATGTTTGAGTAATCTAGATATAGGAGATTCAATTTAACGTTGTGGTGTACATATAATTTGTCAATAAATAAGGCAGTAGTCATTCTGACTTTTAGTTCTGGAGTTTGTTCAAGTCCAAATATGGTGACTGTTTAAACATACACTAGATCCATGGTCTAGTATAGAGTGTCTGCCTAGAGAGTGGTAGTTGTTGTTGCCCTGCCTTCTACTCGGGTTTAAGGGGTACAACAAGGACTGGATGGCTTAGAGTCAGTATACTGTGTCTGGGTGGAGCATCCATGTTAAACTGTAGCATGGTGTCAGTGGGCTGAGACTAGAATTAGTCCAGACTAGTATCAGTGCCTGCACATTAACACACAAGCAGGATCATCTCTGTGTAAGTGTAGCAATCTTGAACACGGCGTTCAACCTATTTTCACCTCACCTCACCTCTCTTTACAGCAGTTAATGTGTGTCAGGCGCTCTATCACCACATTCCCACAGCACCTTTTCACTTTCTTTCTCAACAGAGTTATGTCCCCTACCCTATCGTGCCTGCAACGTGCCTTCAGCCCACAAGTTATTAGACCCAATATCACATATGTAAACAAATGAAAATGTCAGATGTCATTCTTATGGAATTAATGAGCAGTAAGAACTCTCAACATGTCTTAAAGATTGATAGTATTGGTAAATTTGATTGCGTTGACCAACAAAACAGTCTTGACAAAGAATGGCCATGTTGCTCTTGTTGGAGGCAAGACTTGTTTGAACTGTGTAAACCTATATATCATAGTAATGTGTGTACAAAATGTTGTATTCATTTCTTGGATTGGAAGACATTACACACAAAGAGCCTACTGAAGCAGGACAGCTTATGAGTGATCGACTTGCCGAAAATAAAAAGTTAGGAAAGAGGTCATGGTAGATTTCTGTCTTTCAAATGCCACACTTTTTGAGTGCTGGTATATGTCCGTTTAATGTCCACAACTTTTTATTGAATGTGTATGAATGTGGGAGTTAAATGGTGCAGGTTGATTTAGTGCAGTACGACCAGGGACCAACTTGGCTCAACATTTATGACAGCGAATAGAAAAACTTGGTACAGGGTCACTGTAGCAAGTCATATAGGATTGTCATTTTTCATTGTCACTTCACGTTTACGTACAAACTGCAGTAAACAAAGGGTTGTTCAGTATAATGAGTGTACGTTTGAGATGAACTGATACTTTCAAAGTTTATGAACATGTATTGTTTGTTAATAATATTTTTTAAAAACAACATATTGGGTCATTGTGATCCCACATATCACTAATGGACATGCAGTGGGACATTATCACGACATTACAAGAAAACAGCAGTTTAGAGAAGATGTGTTTTTAGTGTTGTCTTGGAAACTGCCAGTGAGGAGATTGTAACATTGTTTGACAGAGCAGATAAAAGTACAAAGAAACAGGTCCCCAAATGAGTGAGTGAGTTTAGTTTTACGCTGCACTCAGCATTATTCCAGCTATATGGCGGCGATCTGTAACTAATCAAGTCTGGACCAGACAATCCAGTGATCAACAGCATGAGCATCGATATGGAATTGGGAACTTACTACATGTGTCACCCATGTCAGCGAGCCTGACCACCCAATCCCATTCGTCGCCTCTTACGACAAGCATGGGTTACTGAAGATCAATATTCTAACCCGGACCTTCACGGGTAAGTTCCCCA